TCCTTTGTAACAAATAGATATAGAGAAGAAAATGATAGCTAGAATTTTATATAGCACCTATTATGTGCTATGCACTTTACAAATATCATCTCATTTTATCACGACAACTCTGGGAAGCAGGTGCTATTGTTACCCCCATTTTATAGTTGAGGAAGCTGTGGTAAATAGAAGTTAAATGACTTGCCACATCAAGTAAGTGTCTAAGGTGTCTTGGGGCAGTTAGATTGCATAGTAGTTAGACTGCTGGGCTTGGAGTCAGGAAGAGCTTAGTTCAAATCTGACCTCAGATACTTACCAGCTATGAGATCCGAGGTAAGTCACTTAACCTCTGCTCATCTCAATTTCCTTATCTGTCAAGTGGAGATAATAACACCCACCTCTCAGGGCTGTTGTGAGGATCAAATGAGATTATAATTGTAAAGTGTTTAGCACAGTGCCTGGCATATAATATTATATACACATTAACTATTATTTTTATTATTGACCCAGATATAAATTTAGGTCTTCCAGACTACTACAGGCTCAGCACTCTATGCCCTGCACCACCCAGCTGCCACATCGGCCATATCTAAAAACATATGTCTCATCCTGCACCTCTAGTCCGTTCCCTTTCTGCCAAGAGGTTGGGGGTGAGGGATATGTTTCATCAGCTGTCTCTAGAAGTCTTAATTGGTCACTTGGTAGGTCACAGTTCAAAAGTCTTTCAAAGTTGTTGTCTTTATTGAATTGTTATTCAATAAACTGTTCACTTCAGTCTGCATCAGTTCATACAAGTCTTCCCACATTTTTCTTAATCTGTCATGTTTGTCATTTCTCAAAGTAAAATAATATTCTATTCCATTCATGTTTCTTCTGCATCACCTCTTTGCGGTGGGCCATGGCTTATATGCATTACTCCAATAAGCAGTGGCTACATGGCCAACAGGCTGACTTCAGATCAATTGCAATGAATAGTCTTGGTGACAGAGATTCTAGGGAGATGAGGAGGGAAGATAGGTTCAGAATATAGCATCAACATCAGACTTGGTGGATTGGCTATGCTTACAAACTATAAGCTCCTTGAGGGCAGGGATTGCCTCACTTTTGTCTTTGTATCCCCAGAGTTGGCACATAAAAGTAAGCACTTAACAAATGTTTGTCGATTACTGACTGATTTGCTTTGTTGCAATGGAGAGTTAAATGTTTAGTATTGTTGCAAACAATTATGATGTTAAAAGAAACCCAAAAGTCAACAATTAAAAAAGAAAGGGAAAGCCTGGCCATAGGAAAAGCAATAAATTTGGAGTGGGAAGATTTGGATTCAAATCCTAACTCTATGAGATATCACCTAGGAGACCTAGGGCAGGTCACCTCTTTGAAAATTGATTTCCTTATCTGTGGGAATTGTGTGAAATTCATGATTTTTTTAAACTCTAAATTTATGATACTGGGGCCTCTGGCTCCCCAATCTTTGGCCCAGAATCCTAGATACCCTCTTTAGCTAGGGGTGATTTCTTCTCTAAACTCGGTTGTCACATGCACAAAGTTGTTTTATGTCTCCACCCTCTTAGCTTCTTTACTCTGAGGAACCAGAAACAACAACAAAAAAAATTTTTTTCAGAAACAAAATCTTGAAGGAATTAATTCCCTATGCTTTCCCCCTCCCTGTCCCATCTAAGGCTGTGAACACGTTGCATGCATATTATGCAGTGAGCCTCTTGGCTTCCTTTTAGTTCCAGCAAAAATCCCACCTTCTATTTTATTTATTGGCTAGGCAGTGGGGTTAAGTGACTTGCCCAGGGTCACACAGCTAGTAAGTGTTATGTGTCTGAGGTCTGATTTGAACTCAGGTCCTCCTGAATCCAGGGCCGGTGCTCTATCCACTGCGCCACCTAGGGGCCCCTAAAAACCCCACTTTCTACAGGAAACCTTTCCTAATTCCCCTTAATACTGGTGCCTTCCCTCTGTTCATTATCTCCAATTTATCCTTTCTATAATTTGTCCACAATTGTTTGCATATTGTCTTTTCTATTGGACTGTGAACTGTCTGAGTCCAGGGACTATCTTTTGCCTTTCTTTGTATCCCTACAGTTTAGCACAGTGCCTGATACATGTTACGTTCAGTCATTTCCGTTGTGTCTGACTCTTCGTGACCCCATTTGGGGTCTTCTTGGCAAAGATAGTGGATCGGTTTGCCATTTCCTTTGACAGCTAATTTTAGAGATGAGGAACTGAGTCAAGCAGGGTTAAGTAATCGCCCAGGGTCACACAGATAGTAAGTATCTGAGGCTGGATTTGAACTCAGGAAGTTGAGTTTTCCTGACTTCAGGTCCAGCACTCTATCCACTTGGCACATAGTAGATGCTTAATAAATGTTCATTGACTCTTAATTTATTTTCTCTTCCCTTTGGGAGTGCCCGGTTTGACAGGAAGAATCACTTGGATTCCAACTCTCAGGAAGCCACCTGTCTTGGAGGTGGGTGGGAGACATGGCCACTTCTTTGGGAGGTTTTGGCCATGGGGTGAGGACTTGTGTCTCAGGGTTGTGAAATGACTAGCTAGAAGTTCCAAAGAGCAGGGTGAGGAGGACCAGCTCTACAGAGGGTTGCTAGATGGAGTTCACCACCTGATAGGTGTGTCACTTTGTCATTAGTGAGTAATACTGACAAAATTGTTTCAGAGGGCTTTGGCCTACATTTTAGGGAATCCTGTCAAAGAGGACAGTTCCTGACCAGCAAATAGCCCCAGTCCTCAAAAAACTGCTGATTAAAGTATTTGCTGATCTTGTGTTAACTTAACTGGAGAAGAACCCCAACAGCACAGCAGCAGACAGTCTACCATGCGTCTCCCCTTTTCCCCTATGTCTCCTTCCTGTCTCCTGACATCCCAGGCCCCCCACTCCCCACCTCAGCAGTACTCAGGCCCCTTTCGCTTCATTTCCTAAGGCACTGATGGTGACTTTATTTTTCTCCCACAAACTGGTCATAAAAACCAGAAAATGGTAGCAGTGGAAAGTGGGACATAAAATAGAAGCGACCTTGGAACAAAGAATTTCAGATCTGGAAAGGATTTTGAGGGATCATTTAGCCCAGTCTTTTCCTTTTACAGATCAAGAAACTGAAGTTCCTTAGATCTTTGATCTTAAAGTCTCCATTCTCTCTGGATACAAGCCCAGGTTGGGAATCTGGGGGCTGGAAATCATATGTAGTTTAGGATAATGAGATTATTGTAAATAAAGTATTGCAACATCAATGGTTAGACGGCTAGACCTGGAGTCAGGAAGATTTGAGTTGAAATATAGCCTCAGACTCTTATTAGCTGTGTGACCCTGGACAAGTCATTTAACTTCTCTCTGCTTCAACTATAAAATGGAGATAATATCACCTACCTCTCAAGGTCTTTGTATCAAATGAGATAATATTTGTAAAGTGCTTAGCGCAGTGACAGGTACATATCTGGTACTTAATAAATGCTTGTTTCCTTCCCTCCTTCCTCCTTTCTTTCCCTCCTTCCTTCCTTCCTTCCTTCCTTCCTTCCTTCCTTCCTTCCTTCCTTCCTTCCTTCCTTCCTTTCCTTCCTGTCCTATTCTCTGTCAAAGTGCCAACTCCCTATGTTTTCTCTTGGAAACAAATAGAACCAGACACCAATGCTATTCTTTTTCTACATGGGAAGAAAGGGAAATTGAGATCCAGGGGCAACCAGGGAGCCAGGAGTTTTGGTCCCCAGATCAGGTCTTTTCTTACTTATCCCTCATCGGGGATCACAAGATTATAGGTTTTATAAGTGAACAGATACCGTAGAGATTATTTAGTCCTATTCCTCTATTTTTTATTTTACAGATAAGGAAACTGAGGTCTGGAGTGAAGCGGCTTGAAATGAAGTGCAGTGTTCTGCAAAACTCAGATCTCATAAGAAGGCCAGTTTTTATTATTTGTTATTTTAGTATTTTGTCAAGACTTTTCATTGGTGTAGGGAACTCCATCAAAGCAGGCTGGCAATTTCTTCTGCAACCTCTAGAGGGTTGCCTCAGATGACGTGATTTACCCAGGTTTAATCCTGAATATAGCCTATTTGTACAGAGTTGGTTTGTTGTCCATATTAGATAACAAGCTGTTGGAGAGCAGGACCTGTCTTTCTTTTTATCTCCAATGTACAGGAATCAAACTCTCCACAAGACACACAGAATTCCCTAGGTGTCCCTGAACCAGATTAAAATATAATTGGGTGAATGACCCTGAGCAAGTCACTTAATCCCATTGCCTAGCGGGTGCCCACCAATATATGTCTATATATAGATATGTAACTGGGAAATGTTGAATAAAATAAATAAAAATGCAATATAACGTAGATGATTCATGTTTTTTTTAAGTCAATATGCCGCCGCAGGGATCTGCTTCTATTTGAGTTTGAGCCAAACCCCAGAGCACAGGACAATGCCTAAGTAGAGTAGGCACTTAATAAATGCTTATTGACGGATTGCCAGCGTCCTTGGGGACGCTGAAACAGGTAGAGAAAAGTGGGAAGGCCTTTCGAGCCTCACACACAAATTCCCTGAAATGTTCCCTATATTGGCTGTTTCAGCGCATTTTTAAGCTATAGAAACTTAAACTGCACACGCTATAAAGTGCCCCAGAAGCTCGTCCTATGACCATAACATAACACCGCCTCTAGGCTCCAGAGTCGTTTCGAAAGCGCAGGGTGCGGGGCAGGCGGGGGTCGTCCCCTCCGACCCTGGGGCTTGGGGCTAAGGAGCAACGAAGGCCAATGATCCATCGATGCTCTCGGCATTCGACGTGTCCTGCCTGCTCTTACTCCCTCCCGCCGTCCGGGGGCGGGCTCGTGGGCGGGCCGGGGGCGTATCCGAGGCCGATGATTGGCTGCGTGGCGGCGGGCGGTGGGGTTAAGCGCGTCGCGGGGCCGGGGCCGGGGTCCCGCTGGAGCGGCCGAACCCGAGAGTGGGGCCCCGAGCCCGAGGCGGAGGGAACCCCGCCGAGCCTCCCGAGCCCGCCTGCCAGTCATGAACCCCGCGCCCCCGCACAGCTGCCCCGGCCTTGGGCGGCCCCTGGTCCTGCTGCTGCTGCTGCTGCTGCCGGCGCCGACGTCGGGGTCGGCCCAGGTGCCGCCTCCGCAGCCCCCCACCCCCGAGGAGACCCCCGGTGGTGATCGGTAAGGCTGGGGAGGGGGCGCTAGGGAGGCCCCCAGCCCTCCCCTGCGCCCGGGGACGACCCCCGCACGCGCTCCGTCCTCTGGGCCCTGGGGCCCCCGCCTCCGCGTGCGCGCCCATTCTCCTTATCTCCCTCCAGTCCCGGACCTCATCCCTGTGTACCCCCTCGTCCTCATGCACCCCCCTGTTCTCCCCATCCCCCCTCCTTAACGGTCCCTGTGCAAACCCCTCCTCCCTATTCGCCCCGCGGCCCCCATACTCCATAAGCGTCCCCACTCAGGGACCTCCTCCCCATGCACCGCCCTCTTACCGTCCTCCCTGCTCAGTGTCCCTCTTCCTCCCTGTGCATCCCCTTCTCCATCCTCCCCCCTCAGGGACCATGCTCCCTGTGTCTCCTGTTCTCCCCTTCCCAGGTACCCTTGAGACCTCTCCATGTTGCCTCCTTAACCCTTTCCTCTCGGGGTCTCTTTTTGCACCAGGTCCCCCTCCTTCCCATGCGTCCTGATTAACCTTTTCCACTCGGGGATCCCGCTAGCCCTGTACACCTCCTCCATGTGTGACCTCCCTCTCCATCGACCACCACGTCCTTAACCCTCTGGCTCAGGGTACACTTCCCACCTTCCCATGCACCTTTGAGTCCTCTCTATCCTCCCTTCTTAACCCTCCCTTCTTAGAATCTCCCTTGTCCATGCATCCCCCCCCCACTTCTTATATTCCTTTGACCTTTCAGCTCATGGTCTCCATCCTAGTGTGCCCCGTCCTCCTCATGACCCCTCTTCAACTCTTCTGCTGAAGGCCCCCCTTCTTCCCCAGGTAGCGCTCCTTCCCATACACATTCCGGCTGTTTCTCCATGTACCTCCCTTCTCTCCATGCCCCCTCTTTCCCCCTTCCCCAGGACCCCCTTTGTTAGTCCTCCCTCCCTCCCCCACCCCCTCTCTGCTCTTCCCCTCTTAGGCCTCCTCTCCTTTTCCAGTGTCCCCCTCTGATTCTCCATCCCTGCCCACCCATTCTGTAATTTCAGCTTTTCTCTTTATCCCACCCACACACCCACCCAACTCCAGAGGCTCCTTCCATCCCACAGCTCCAGGACACTGACTATTCATATCACCTCCCCCTTCCCAGAATACTCCACCCAAGGCTTCTTTCCTCTTCAGATCCCTCTCCTTGCTGTCTCCTACAGAGCCCAGACACATACTTAGTGTCATCCTCCACTCACAATACCTTTACCTAGATAGCCCATCTTGTGTTCACCCCAGGAAGTCTCCTCTTCCTCTTCTGTCACTCTTTGCTTGCAGTACCCCAGGGGTAAGGGAGTATTTAATATCACACACACACACACACTTTTTCTTTACCCACTGCTCACCCCCTAGGATTTTTGTCTTCTTGATCACGGCCAACATCTCCAATCTTTACTGCCCTGTGCTAAGGATGGGGAAGGAGAAACCTACTCCCTGTTTACCCAGGCTCCTTTTCTCCTTATAATAATAGCGTGCATTGGTGTAGCCAGCACTAGACTTTCCCCCCCACCCACTTTAGTAGATTATTTTTTTTCCAGCTGCATGTAAAGATAGTTTTCAACATTCTCTTATAAGATTTTAAGTCCCAAATTTTTCTCCCTCCCTGCTCTCCCCTCTCCCCAAAGACAGCAAGTGATCTGATACAAGTTATACATTTACAATTGTATTAAACATATTTCCACATTAATCATGTTGCAGCAGCAGTAGACTTCTTATCCCATTTGATGTTCGCTTCTGTGGGTGGATGCTGTGTTATCCCCATTCTACAGATAAGAAAACTAAGGCTGCTTGGGTTTTAAGGGCTTGCCCTGGGTCATACTGCTAGGAAGGCATCAAAGATAGGATTCCACCGACCACTTACTAGCTGAGTGACCCAAGGCAAGCCACCTAACCTAGTTTGCCTCAGTTTCCTCATTTGCAAAACAGGGATAATAAAAGCAATTACCTCCCATATCACTGGGATGCCTCCAAACTTAATATCACCCCTTCCCCACTGCCGTGCTCCCACAATAACACAAACTGTACCTGAGTCCTCACTGTGTTCTGCCCTGGCTCCCCCTCTTTCTCCTTACATATCTGTACCTCCTTTCATTACCACCTTTGGGTCCCTTCTGGTCTCTTCCCTGCTGCAGGTGCCTACCTCCCACCCTTATCACCCCAGCCTGCTCTCCCTTCCCTGTCTGGAGAGAAGGGGACATTCCATAGCCCTCATAAGCCATCATTAATTTAGCCCAGGAAGGGACCTCGGGACATCATCTCTCGTTCATCACTGCACCCCAAGCTCCCTTTCTTCTCAACCCACTCTTGCCCTCAATTTTCCTCCTCTTCAGATTCTTCTCCACACTCTTTAGTGCCTTCACCTTTCCCTTTTCTTGCCCCTTCCTTTCTTTACTACCCTTCGTAAATATAGATTTAAAGTCTGAGGACCTGGGTTCAAGTTCCAGTTCCCTCTGACCTTAGAGGATCTGGGCCTCACTTTTCTAATCTGTAAAAATGAGATGGGGGGAGCAGGGAGGTGGAGATGGGGAGACTGAACAGTTTTCTGAGGTCCTGAGGGTTGTTTTATGGGTTTGTTTCTTCACAGCCCTCATTACCTGCCTGGTTTTTGACCCTTGTGCACAAGAGGGAGGACAGGAGAGGGCTAAAGCCAAGCCTTTTTTCTCCCTTTCCAGTGACCTGCCCCTCATTGTCTTAGCTAACTATTACATGGGATGCTGAGACTTACGGCTGTGACCTCTAGACCAGGGCTGGGGCCTAGGGGGGCAGAAGGGGAAGGAATGGGGGTCAGAAGCTGCTGTGTGACCAGATGATGTCTAGTGAGGGGGAAGGGCAGTACAGATCCCTCCCTCCCTCACTTCCCCCCCATCGATGGTATCTGTCACTGTAGTTCTCTTTTCCATTCTCCTGGGCACTCATGGGGCAGGGGAGCTGCCTTTCCTTCTGCGTTATGACCTTGCTTTTACTGCAGGGTCTGCTGGACGAAATCTGGCTGCGTTTGGTCTGTGACAGCCATGCTTGTTGTCTGACATAACTTCTTTGCGATAGTATCCCAGAGTCCTTAGCCAAAATGGCTCCATGGGGTTGTGGCTGCCGCTGGTCAGTGAGTCTGTGGCCAGGGAGGAGGAGAAAGAATGGGATCATAGGTTTGACACTAGAGATCATCTGGGCTGATCTCCTCTCTTAACATACAGAATTGTGTTATTTCAGTCATTTCAATCGTGTCCAACTCTTCATGACCCCATTTGGGGTTTTCTTGGCAGAGATACTGGAGTGGTTTGCAATTTCCTTCTCCAGCTCATTTGACAGATGAGGAAACTGAGGCAAACAGGGTGAAGTGTCTTGCCCAGAGTTATACAGCTAGTAAGTGTCTAAGGCCAGATTTGAACTCAGGAAGATGACTCTATCCACTTTCCTCTGAGCTGCCGTAACATACAGACACAGGCCTAGAGTTGTTAAGGGCACATAGTAGCATAGCCAGGATTCAGATTGTAATGACCAAGCCAGAGCTCTCTACTGCGCTGACCCACCTGCCTGATCCTTATTGAATCTCAGGTGTCTCGAATCCTGGGTGGGGCTATTAAAATAAAGGGTCTTTTGTGCAGCAGCCAAAGCCCCAAGCTGTCAGAAGAGCATCGATGTTTTAGGAAGGACTGACGATGAGAAATCTCCCTTCCTGCTCTTAATAAGCCCCTCTGTGCAGCCAGGTGCTCTGTGTGTCTGAGGAAGAATTCCAGGGTTTTGCCTTTGAGCTTACTGATTGCTACTTCTGTTTATTTTCCATTCCCGTTCAATCCTGATAATGCCACCCTGAGAACTAGGCATCAGCTGCAGCTCCATCTGTTTGCTTGGCCTTTGGGATTGCAGCAGAGGCCCCCAACTCTTATGACCTGAAGCACTTTATACTTTTTATGCTAAGCATAGCTTTCTTCCTGTGGTTTAAAAAAAATGCAGCTATAGCCCAGAAGGGTTCCTCATCAATCACTAACACTTGAGTGTAAATGACTCTCTCTGCATGAGAACATTGGAGTTTGAGGTTGGTGGTGGTTGTTTTAGGGATGGAGGGAAGCTCATTCTTTCTTTCCCCCTCCCCTGTGTGGGGCTGGAGTCTATGATTTTATGATACCCTACAGAAACCAAATTAATTTTTGTCCATGTACTTGTGCTGAGGGAGAAGTACTGGCTCAGCCCCAAGAGCTGGGGGAACAGAGGGAAGTTATCTATCTTCTTTACCCTTTTCCACATGGCCCTGGGGAAAGACTGCTGAGTGAGCCTAGAAGGGAGGAGTGAGCGATGTATGATAAGCATATTTATCCTGTGAAACACAAGCTTAGTTACTTATAGACTCTTGTGACCTATGTAGTCTTTTTTGAAAAATCATTGATATCTTTTGTTTTTACATAGCCTACATTTATTTCCCTATATATCCCTCTCTCCCCCTCCCAGAGAACCATCATCCCTTATAACAGGAATGGGGAACCTGTGGCCTTCTAGGTCCTTTTAAGGGGATTTGTTCTGTGAAGTTTGGATTTAGTCAAAGGGCCACACTTGAGGACCTAGAGGGCCACATGTGGCCTGGAGGCCACAGGTTCCCCATGTTGCCTTATAACAAAGAAGAAAAAGAGAGGGGAAAAATTCGGCTAAACTACTTTTTCTCAGTTATTTCAGACTCTTTGTGACCCCATTTGGGGTTTTCTTGGCAAAGATACTGGAGTGGTTTGCCATTTCCTTCTCCAGCTCATTTTACAGATGAGGAGACTGAGGCCACAGGGTGAATGTGACTTGCCCAGGGTCACACAGCCAGGAAGTCAGAGGCTGGATTTGAACTCAGGTCTTTCTGACTCCAGCCCTGAAACTCTATATCTACTGCACCACCTGACTGCCGGACTAAACTAAACAACACATTGAAAAAACTGAGACCTCCAGTTCCCCACTTTTGCCAAGAAATCGGAGAGAAGGTCTCACGTCTCTTAGGCATCAAGCTTCG